ACTCTCTCCCCTTTTCTCTTTCTCCATCTCTTTTACTCTCTACGCGCTTAACTAGTCAAGCATAACAAAAAAACACAAACAACAACTCGTTTTGGTTAATTAACATAAAAAACGGTACAATAACAACAAAACGCCGCACACTTGTTGCACCCAAAAAAAAAGTCGAGAGAGGAAAATAAATAAAGTAACGAATGAAAAGCCGACGCCTGAGCAAACACAAGAGAAAAACAGAGTGCCAGAGAATTGGAGAGAAAGATAGGGAGAGAGTGGAAGAATGAGAGAGGAAGTTCCTTTCCTTTTATTGCAAAATTTCAAGTTCGCAGCCAGCACCAAAAACTGCATGGAAATTGCAAAAATAAGCAAATGTTTACAGATACAGTAAATCCTCGAAAAAAGCAATGAGTACCAATTGTAACCATTATTATTTCTTTAAAAAAAGTACATTAAAAATGTCCTACTTTTGGCCTACTTTTAGTAACTGATCTCTTCTAAGAGACATTCTTGTATCTTGTTTATACATATATCGATACTATTTATTTAAAAACCTTAACTGTTTATAGAGACTTTATTTAAATAAATAAAATAAAAATTTTTTTAAAGGGTAATTGACCCGTTCCATGACAGTGGCACTACATTTAAATATTTAATTAATAAATAACTCCAATTTTTGACACGATTCTTCTGAATGAATAACGATACTATTACATATAGAGGTTTATAAAAAAAATATTAAATATTTTTAAACTTGTAGAAAATGGATATGGAACAAAGACATGGAAAATGTTGAAAAAAAATGATTATAATAAGAATAGGACAGTTTGCGATTACAGCCAGTTCCTTTTAGCAGCGATCGCTGTACTTCGATAGCATTCGGTCTGCGCCCTGCGGTTTTTTTTGAATAAATAAATACAAATTTAACGAACGCTTGGGCGGCAAACAGACGCAACCATGACGTCAGGCGCTTTCGGTGTCTCTCGCGCATTTCGCCTTTATGTTCGTTGCAAATTTTGTGTATTCAATGTCAAAATCCATGGCCCGAAACACGGCCAAAAGCCATTCCCAATCGCCAAAAAAAAAGCCCCCAGCCAGACAATTGTGGGTGCGCTTAGGGATGGAATAGTCAGTCGACTATATCACGTGAATCTCAAATATAAACTTTTGTTAAAATGGCTTTATATCGTGATATTCTTTTTGAATCGGTTTGAGTCAACTACCATTCAAAAACGAAAAATATGAACTTTATAGTGCCAACGGATAAAGCGTACTTATTACTTGTTATGAATTAAAAAAAGGGTTACAGTATTAACCGGTAATCGGTTATACCACGTTTATTAGTCGTTGTGAATCGGTTCAGAAGCGGGTGAGTATGCGAAGGGGTCTGAATCACAGGCCTATTTATTACAAATTTCATAAGACTAACATTAAAAACAAATGAATTAAATGAATAATTTTTAAAACATAAGTAAGCAATTAAAATAAATTTGTCATTTCGTTCCTAACAGTATGATTTATTCTATGATTCATTTGTTGATCTTTAAGATCCTCACGCTATCATCATTATTTTCGAAGTTTGGGTGCTTTTTTTTACCTGCCCAAGCGATAAAGAAAGGAGGATGACGAAGGAGGAGACGATACTAACCAAAATGGCAACACTGACGGTGAAAACCGGTTTTATTTTCGTATTCCTTATTTCATTCTTTTCATTTGATTTTGTGAGCGCATCAAAAAATATGCAAACGTAGAAAAAAATACGTTACCAGTCAAATACAAATGTGCTAATTGAGCTAATAGAGAAAGAGTTGACCATTTCCCAAACTATAAATCAGATAATGAATGGCCAAACAACAAATCCGAGTGCCAGAAAGAGAGGAGTGTAAACAAAAAGGCGGACAGCATCCGCTGCCAATGGTTGTGTGTGGGTGCGAGCGAGACGCTCGTTAGCCTAGTTAAGCCAGATGCGACTAATGGGTATCTGGAGAATATCGGTTTTTTGAGTTTATCACTTTAGACAGTCATTGGCAGGGATCAATGGCCCAAAAAATAAACACAAACTCTAACTCCTTTCTTTTAGTTTTCTATATTATTAGATATAAACCGAATTTGAAACGTTTAAACATGTTTAAAATACTCTTCGCTATATTAAAAAGAAAGTATGGTAAAATTCACATTTCTAGGGTATTTTTTATGCCCTATCAAGTGTGGCAAGCAAATTTTTACGCCTGTTCGTTGGACTCGATCGATTCCCAACAACTTGTTTCGGCTTATTGAACAGCATTCATTTGAGAAATGAAGAAGCTGACAACTTTGTCGCTTTCTCAGAGCCACACAAAACCGTTACAAATTGGCCGGGGAATGTGAGAAAAGAGGAAGATGTCGATAGAGAGGGGCACTCGGAAAAAATATCACATGAGACCTCTTACTAAAAGATTAAAATCTTCTATACCGACTTTTAAAATAATTTGATTTTTGGTTTGATACTTTAAAATAATATTGTTTAACTTTTGTTTTCGTTGCTTAATAACTTTTCTTGGAGAATCTATAATATCTCTCTAGAGATACGAAACGAGATCGGCTGACTCATAGTTTATATGAAATGTATGTATGAAAATGTATGACAAATCACAAAAGAAAGCAGCAGTCTAAAAAACTGCCTGGAAATGGCCTGGTTCAATAATAATAAATACTAATATATGAGGGAAGTGGAAGAGCGGGAAATTCTAACAGCTCTTCGAACCCGTATTAAAAACGGGCCACCAAACAGCTTCGATAGCGATGAGCTTGAAAACCTAAGACAGTGAGTGTTGGGTCAATATTTGCGGACTATTTTTGGAAATGATTTTAAATTCTGTAGTTTAAACCTTATTTTTTAAGTTTGAATTTTTTTTTATTTAATGTCTATCTAATGGAAATAAATGGACTATTATCACTTTAGTGAATTGTTTATTTTATAGGACTATTCCCAATTATTCATAATTAATTTGAATAGTTCTGGTCAAAATTCTACAAATTCCGGCAACTAAACTGCTTATTAAAATAAAAGTAATGACACTGCAGATTAACATGTTCTTTACAAAATAATGCAAATTTTTGATGTTGAAAGTTTAAAATTACTAATCCGTTAAAGACGATCGAAATGAGAAATATTTTATTTTTTTAATATTTAGGTTTATTTCTAGCTTTTTGTGCAGCCATCACTGATCACCAGTAAATCTGGTTGGAGAAAAAGAGCCGCGCACAGTTCCATCTGGAAGCGCGATATTATAACTGGAAAATGCGACTTCATGCTAATGGGATAAATGTTTGAAAGCCCAAGGCGAGCGTGAAAGAGACAAAGCGAAGGGGTGGAGGCGAAGGCGAGACAAAGAAGGCGGAAAACTTTGGTTGGAAAAACGGTGGTTGGAGTAACGCTGCAATTTTCACACGCTTTAACCGCACACACACACTGATCTATGAGCAGCTGCCAAAAAAATTAACAATTCACTCCAAAATTATAGCGCTACCTCGCTCTAATGCTGAATTACTTAAAGAAGCTTTGATGCGCGCGAGAGGGAGAGAAGTTAGTCTTTAAATATTCCTTATTTATTGTTGAATTTGTATGACTTTTTTGTATTGCTATTTAATTTTCAAAGTGACTTTTTTTTTGTAATGCCGGTTAATGACTCACACTCCATTCTCTCCCGTTCTCTTTCGCACGCATACTGCCACATACCGGTATTTCTGCCTTTGCCTTACACTCTTTCTTCGTTTGTTTTACATTCTTTTCTTATTATTTAGAGTAAAAAAGACAGTTAAATGCGCAGAACTCACACACACACATGCAAAAACACTTCTTGTTTTTGCTTGCCGGCAATAGGAAAACTTGTGTTTTTATTGTTTTCCTGGCCTTTGTTGGTTTTCTTCCTCTATTTTTATTATTTTTTTTGAACACACACGGAAAAAAATTGAGTTCTCGTCGCAGCGGAAAACGCAACACGAATAAAGAAAAGCGAACAATAAAAACGTTTTTCGCCGGTGTTTGAAAGAATATGTGTGCGTGTGTGTGAAAGAGCGCCGCGTGTGCATGAGTATGGGTGCGCTTGTTGCGCTTTTATTTAGTGCCTTGGAATTTTGTACTTTAATTTCGCTTTTCACTTACTTTTCGTTTTCGATTCCAATTGCCGCGTGTTTTTCCGGCTTTCCTTTTGGGTCCTTTGTTTTCCCTGGTGTTTCGCAAACGAAACGAAAAATCAAATAAACGCAAAAATAAGAGCGAAAATGAAAAACAAAAACGGTTGGTCGAAGTGTGACCGCCCCTAGTTCGTTCGAAAACACGAACCGGTTCACGGAAATCTTCTTAAATACACCAAAATATATCGGAACGTTTTTAGCTTGTCATCCTTAGTGGAGACGCACTTAGTGAAGACACGCTCCGCAGTTTCGAACTATCGATAGTATGTATATAGAAAGATACGGACAGATCGAGAATATATATACTTTATAGGATCGGAAACATATCCTTTACTGCGGAGCAAACTTCTGACTAAAAGTATACCCTTATTAATAATTGATAAGACATTTGAAATTTTAGTACGTTACGTTGTACAAAATGTGGAAATATTTGAATATAAATATCCAATACAAAACATAACTCCCACCTAAAGCAAATAAAAGACATTTTAAACACAAAAACGCCGGTAGTTTTTTTTATTTATTACGTTTTAATCATTAACAAACTACCAAGACAGAATGTTATCTAAAAAAACAAAGTTGTTATCATTAAAATAAATAGGAAATATTAGCTTTTTGATAGAAACAATTAAATAGTTGCATGAAAATTTTTAAATATTTTGTAAAGAAAATAATAACTGCCAGCCCAAAATATGTAAAAAATAAAACTTTATTTTAATCTTTATTGACAAACAGAAAATATCAATTTAATTGAGCATAAAATAAATTCAATAATCGCTTAAATTTACTTTAGTTTTCAGCCACCTCCGATTTGACCCACAAAGACGACCGACTAAATTTAGAAAAGAAACAATTTATTCAGCTTAATCCAATGGTAAACAGAAAATAAAGACGTCGGCATTTGATGCCCGCTAATTTTGTACTCGCTCGGAGGTCAATCGAAAAAAACTATGAGTCTTAGTCTTTTTTTGTTTTTTTTGGGGGACGTAATTACTTATCCTCGGATCTATAATCACAAGGATTCGAATTGTTTAAGATATTGTGATTATATGTTCTAGTCCTAGAATAATAAAGATAACAATGGGCAATTGAAAATAGAAGAATTAAACCTGTTCTTTAGAATTTCGCAACCAAGGTCCTGCTTTTTCTACATAGCTCACACAAATAGGTTTCCAATATAACCGATATTTGGATTGAAAAACATAGGGTTAAGTTGGGATGCAAGCACCTTGGTAAACGACTCTTAGGCTTTTGGATCTTACTTAACAATTTGACATGATTTAATAAGCTTAGGGTTATAATGTGCTGTATTCGAAATCATAGAGCTGCAAAATATCCATTCCCCTGGGCGCACGAATCTTGGGTTTTGTACAAATGAAAATGATAGATGTGGGTATTGATCCGGGGTAACAGTCACTCGGACTCCCAGCTCTTGGCCCACAAATCTTAGGGCTACACAATCTTAATTGTTATTCTCGAGGGCGGCCATCCGCTCGCGCTCCTTGAGCAGCCGCTCGCGACTGTCCTGCGGGTTGAGCAGCACCTTGACCAGGTGCTCCACGGTGGGCCGCTCGGCGGTGCAGTAGACCTTCAGGCCTTGCGACTCGAGGGCGCGCCTGGTGCTCGGCCCGATGGCCACCAGCTTCCACTTGTCCATCGACAGCTGGCGGGCGTTGAAGTACTGCTGGGCGCAGGTGACGCCCGACGGCGAGAAGAAGGCGAGGAACTCGATGGACTCGCCGTACACCTCCAGTGCCCGCTCCACATTCTCGCCCAGCTCCGGATGGCAACGCGTCTCGTACACCTCGCAGGCGTCCACGGAGAACCCGTTCTCGGCCAGCTTGGAGAGCAGGGTGTCCGTGGCCAGGTTGCCGCACGGCAGGAGCAGGGGCAGTGCCCGCGAGCCATCGAAGGTGTCCACAATGAACTCGCCCAGGGCCCGGGCATTACCCGTCTGCTTGCCGTGGGTGAAGAGCTGGTCCAGGGTGCTCGTGGCCAGATTGTGGGTCACCTCGCCGACGGCGTAGTTATGCAACATCTTCCAACCGCCGGGCAGTTGGCCCAGATTCAGGGATTCCGACACCGCCTCCACGCAGCGCGGCGATGTGAAGATGATGCCAGCGTATTTGTCCGGGTTCTGCAGCTTCCCGCGCAGCTCCTCCAGGTTCTTGAACCCGAAGCTCAGCGTGGGCACGAAGACCGGATTGAAGTCGTGCTTCTCCAGCGTTTCCGCGTACACATCGCTGCTGTCCGACTCCGATTTGAATATAATCACCGTGCGCTGGCGACTCGTCATCGTTTTGTTCGGTTTTCCCGGCCGATTTCAGGTCAGTTTCTGTGCTGGCCGAATGCTGTCACTTGCTTATTTTGCACTTTTTCCGCCTCGTTACTTGCCCCGCCCACCGCCGCAGCCTCCGCGCCTCCTTTTCTGGCGGAATAAGCGAAAAATAAGAGATATTTACTTTTAGCTTTTCGCTAATTTCGTCTTGCACTTTTGCACCGTATTGCTGTCTCTTTCCGATCAGCTGTTTTGCCGGCGGAAACAGAGTTGCCAAGTCGTTGCGGTTCGGATATAAGTGTCCTGGCGGTATTTTTGTATCTCATTAAATATTTTGAAATTGGCGGTAAATTAACGGAAATGTAATGGTAAATATTTTAGGTATTATCTCGGACTACCGATAAATATATATACACAGTGGCCTCTCTTTAATCCGCTGTTTTGCCAGCGACAGAAGAAACGCCAGTTGTTAATGGTTATACTTTATAATATGATACTTTTTTCGGTATACCTGTGTGAATAGGCTTTAGAACACATAAATTTATATTGAATCTTTTAGTTTATCGGAATTGTTTCAATTGTATGTTTACATGAAGATGTGTGGACGAATACAATTTGACAAGATGTTATTTATATCAAGAACTAGTTTTTTACTAATTTTGTGGCGTTTTCATTTAAATTAAATTCATATCTTTTTAGGGTCACACCGCCTTTGTACTTATTCCGTTAGCGGGGCTGGTCACTCTCATAATTCGAAGGTTATCGATACCCGTTAAAACATCGATAATACTCTGTTGTGTAGCGCTGCACGTGTTCCACATTTGATTGGATTGGTTTGGTGATTTTGTTGGACTTAAGGCCTTTAAAACCCCACCGGCGCCATGCAGCACGACGATGTGAGTATATAGTTTCGTCAGCAAATCGGGCCTTTCATTAATCCCATTTCCTTGCCCATTTCCAGGTGGTTTGGAGCATCATCAACAAGTCCTTCTGCTCGCACAAAGTCAAGTGAGTTATTCCAGGTGTTAAAAGATATAGTGATAACATTTATAACGTATATATCTCGACAGGACCGACACGCGCACCTTCTGCCGACATGAGTACAATCTCACGGGTCTGTGCACCCGGCGCACCTGTCCACTGGCCAATTCACAGTATGCCACCGTTCGCGAGGAGAAGGGCATCATCTATTTGTTCGTGAAGACTGCCGAAAGGGCCCACATGCCCAGCAAACTGTGGGAGCGGATCAAGTTGTCCCGCAACTTCGAGAAGGCCATCGAACAGATCAACGAGAACCTGGTCTTCTGGCCCAAATACATGATCGCCAAGAACAAGCAGCGTTTCCTCAAGATCACGCAATACCTGATGCGAATGCGCAAGTTGAAGTTGCGCCGCCAAAAGCTGATTGTTCCGCTGTCCACGAAGATCGAAAGACGTGAGGCGCGCCGCGAGGAGAAGGCCTTGGTGGCCGCCAAGATCGACAACCACATCGAGAAGGCCCTGATGGATCGTCTCAAGCACGGCACCTACCGGGACATCTACAATTTCTCGCAGACCGCCTTCAACAAGGCTTTGGAAGCGGAACGTGTGGACGAGGAGGATGAGGAGCTGGAGGACGAGGAGGAGGAGGAGGAGCTGGAGCGCGAAATGGAGGTGGACGCCGACGATTCCCGCGAAGCTGTCGAGCTGCAGAGGGACCTGCTCGAGGAGGAGTTCGTGGAGGCCGACACGGATGATGACGAAGACGAGGACGACGACGAGGAGGAGGACTATGACAGCGATTCCGGACGGCGGGAGGAGGTCGAAGTGGGCAGCGATTTCGAAGACGACGAGGACGATGATGATCCGGATGCAGATGATATTGAGGTAGTCTTTCTATTCATTTATCCAGATTTTTGGCAATTTTGTAGGCTTTTACAACGTGGTTAGAGCAAGATGAGATAGTCTCTTTGAAGATTTATTTTTTCCAATTTTCCCATTTTTTATTTAATCTTTAAAACGTGATAAGTTGTGGCTCTAAAGGCTTTTAGCTAGTCACTAAGCCAACATGTAGAGAATTTCATTTGTTTGGACTTATAGTTTGTATATTTAATAGTTTGCTTATTCCCGATTGAATTCTAAATAGTTGATTCCTTACTGGCATTGTTATTTCGTAATTTGTGGGATTATATTTTGATAATACCTTAAGCAGATGCTGAATAGCCAACACTTCGAATACAAACTTTTTCCAAATCCTGCCCACGAATAGCTCCCCTCCGGGAATTACCATAATTAGTAATAGAAAACGAGTTCTCTGACCGCGAGCTTAGAACACTGAGTTGCTGTGTGAGCTTTCGAGCACTCACCACTTTTCATTCAGTTGCGGTTTTCATTTAGTGCGCGTAAAGTTTGAGCTCTAGAAAATTGCCAATAAATCTTAGAGACATTAATACAAAACCGAACTAAACAAACAATTAAATCGCAAACAGGACATCAAAGTGCCCGCCAAAAAGTCAGCCAGCAAATCGAAGAAGGACAAGAAATCGCCGGCGCCCAGTCGTCGCAGCCGCTCGAAACCCAAACTGGAGCTGGAGTACGAATACGAAGTGGAGAATGAGGTGGAGGCACAGCGGCAGATGCGCCATTAGCCAGGTCCAGACTATATTCCCCATGCACCCCCACATAGCTGTTAACGCTTATTGTTTAGCCAACTTTATATGTAATGCCCGTAAAGAGAGAAGTATTTTATATAAAACAAATCGAGACAAAACTGCCTGTGAATACTGTGTGAGTTCCCAGAAAGGAACGATGCATCCCATCCATCCCACGATGCATCTGTCTCGCTCGCTTTTGCTGACCAAAAGCGTGCCAAGTGACATTGAAAGTGCGTGAGATGGGGGTCAAGACACGGGGGCTTAGCGGTGGCAATGCAATAAAAAAACCAGATTTCAAAATATTCTATAAAACTATACACTACTCTCACAGCGCTACAGTTTTTACATACCCTGGAAAACGTGTGGAGTTGCAGGGATAATTGGTTTAATGATTCATTTGAATAAGGGAAATATAATATGATAGTTTGTCTGTAGGTTCAACCAAAAAATAAGATAGAAGCAATATATTTCATTTTCAGAGCATTATTTATGATTAGATTTGATTTGTAAGCCATTGATTAAACACACATAAGACAGGCAAAAATGGAAAAAAAGAATTAATTGAAAGATTAGATAATGAAAAGAATGAGTTTCCGATTTTATCAAAGTACTTGCTTTAATATAAATATAGGGTTTCAGTAGAAGTTTTTTTTAATTTCCCATTCATATCGATCGGTTAATATTACTTAAAAAAACATCACACCAATTTAGGTTGGTATAGTTATCAATAAATATTATCAAACTCCAATCCTTAACTGATTTAAGAGTCCAATAAACAGCATCAATATGGTCGATACCCCCACGATCGTTAGTTCTGCTGACGGCATATTATATACATATAAAAAAATGCTGTGCGGGGCTAATTAAATATCACACGCCAAGTTCAATGCAACGCAGCCAAGCGATTCCGCAACCCAAGCCCAGATTTATATCGGATCGCATGGGATTGGATAGCCGCCCCTTCAACCTCAAGGTCGTTTCACATCTGCTGGCCAAAGGTTCTGTTTGCCCGCTTTTTCTGCTTACCGGCTATAAAAACGCCTCAAACTCACAGGTGTGGATAATCGGGGTTTACTGCCGGACAGTTGGGAAAAACATCTTGAAAACCTTTCAGCTTTGTTTGACTTCATCCGGATTGAGTGGCTGTGTTCTAAATGCAAATCAGTTGGCGTTATTGACTTTAACAGATTCCAAAGTAGGGTTTTTGCTTGGTATACTAAAGTATCGGTAGTTGAATAGGTGGACATTAATGTTAAGATGAAATGTTCAGTAGTGGCTTTGTGAGCTTATGTATCTTTAGATAAAAAAGCGCACATAAATAATTATAATAATATATCCACTGATTTATACGTAAAATCGGGACTTAATAGAAGGTTTTCAGTAGTTACTCTTGACGCTAATTTCAGACCATAAACGGTTCCTAAAGAAAATGGATTCTAAGTGTCACGAGTTTGATAGCATGTCTTAGAATTTGAAAAGGAAATAGAAATCATACTTTTGAACAATGTACAAACATAGCAAAAAGGCTTAGGATCATTGATAACCATGCACACAATAAATGGAATTCTGACTTTATAAACAGAGTTAATAGGGCTTTTATATTTTTTAAGTGAAGTATTTCTGTCGGATCTCTAAATATAAATTAGTATATTTGATATCCTGACGAGACAATACACACGTTTTTTTATTATTCGAAATTCTGTAGACTAAAACTAGCACATGAAACACACAAAAACCCTGTATTTTGCTACCTACAAGAACACTTAATCCTGTGGCCGCCGTACAAAACAACGAACTTGGTCAATTCACTTAAAACACACAGTTGTCAGTTGGGTGTATATACATTATATTAGTACGTTTAAAGTAAGTTTTCCATTTCTAAGTTAAACAGTTTCTCATTCTCTTTGTGTTTGCATTGTTTTCTGCTGTCCGTAGTTGGTGTAATGTGGATGTCGTTAGCAGCAGAGTTTCCACATCTATGCTGCCACCGTTGAGTTTCTTGGGTCTCCTGTCGTCCTCGTTAGTTTATGCATCTCCCTAGTTTATCAACTGGTTATTTGGTATTCTTAGGCATTGGGACTGAAGGCCGCCTGGCGTAGCAGCACATAGATCTTCTCCTTGATCCAGTCCTTATTGTAAGGGGCGTAAGTGTTGGTGCTCTTCTGGTACACCATGCAGCTGATGTCCATCAACGTGTCGATGAAGTCGAACAGCTGGCTGATGTCGTACGTGATGGTCGGGGTGTTCGGGTTGCGGCGCTTCAGGTGCTCCTCGTAGATCTTGCAGACGCCCTCCATGCACTCGTTCACGCTCTCGTAGTCGCAGTAAGTGCGGGTCTCCGCACGAGCACCCGGCTGAACCAGAAGGATAGTATGCGACATGATGGTCTGCAAGTTAAAGAACATCGGTTAATATTAATCTTAACGAAAGTACAATTGTTTTAAGACGTAGCCAAAATTATACATTAAGTATTAAACACATTTTAATAATATGGCTTAATAAAAAAGGACTGGAAGTGGTATGAAAATCTAGCTTATCAGTTTTCGTTTAGTCAAATTTCTTTCTCAATTAAGCTTATAAATAAACAATATGGGTACCATAATATTCCTCTATAAATTCAGCTACCTAGGCATTTTTCATGAATATACTTCAAAGCAAATTAGATTTGTTTAACTTGAAACATTTGTTTACATTTAAGATCCAATTTCTGCAGAAAAAATGCACATATCACTTTCAAAAGTCGCTGAGTTTACAAAAATTTTAAGTTTGCATATGGTTTTAAAAGTTAGACAGTATTTCGATAAAATTAAATTTCATTTAGCCACAAATTTAACATTTTAAAAGCTTTAAAGGGCGTCATACTAAATTTTGTTTTTAAAAATGTTTTAAGAGATAATGTATAAATGGTTTCGAGAGCTATTGAAATAATACATCAGTTTTTTATCTAATTTTTTTTGTTGAAACTGCTATAGCTCACCAAAAATTAGTCTAAGTCCCGGGGTTTTTAAGATAAAATTTATATAATGGACACTTTCATGTGTGTAGAAACCGGAAGTATATATATATATTTAGAAAGCTTCTAAACATCAAGAATAAACTTAATAATTTTTGTTTTAAATTGTGACTATATAAAAGTAGAATTACAACGACTTTTTTAAATGTTTCCTTAGAAATTTAGTAAACTAGTTTAAATCCAAAATTAATATAATCGTATCAAAATCTTGTGTTTTTGGCCTAATTCATATGCAGTCACATACTTTTTATGAAGTTAGTTGAAGTCCAATGTATTCCGAGACTTTTGACGCAGTTGTTTTCTTTTTGCCAATTCTGCAATAGATGAAAAAACTTCATTAGAAGTGATTATCACAAAAAACAGAAGAAAAATAAAAATATAGCGATTTCTTGCAACGCATCGCTCCATCTCGCTCGCACCCCCAGCAGGCACCAAACACTCGCATACATGTGCAGGCCAATTGCTCTTTTATTTTCCAATTTGCATTTGTTGAAAACAAATAAATACGTTCTTTGAAAATGCAAATTGATCAATTAAAGTTAGGAAAATCATTGGATAGCCGGCAAACAGTGAAAATTCGACATTTAGAGGCATGTTTTTGCCGCTTTAGTGAAACACAAACATTCAGACGCGCACACACACACACACATTTACAGTTGCCGCCGCGTGTGTGTTACTAACTGTATGCGCCTAATTGTTTTCTTATTTTTGCCGATTTTACCCTTAATTTGCGTAAAGCTAATAGTTTGCACCCTGTTCTACACTCACCCGATCAGATCGTAGACTAACGGCTAAGGATTTATATTGATTCAAGACGACGATTCAGAAACTCAACGCTTGCTTGCCCTTTTTTTTTGATTCTGTTCGTCCAGTGTTGGAAAACAAGGGCGGCGGCAGAGTTGCGAAGCGAACGGTGCCGCTTGAGATGGGAGCATGACTTTTCGTCACCAATTAATCGGAAGATAATAGGATAATTTATGACAGTTCGATATATAAATTTATTTTTATTATCTTATAAAAAAAAACAATTTTTAGTTGGTAAGCATTCCACATATTGCCTGTAATTGCTTTAATTCTCTAGGTAATTCTACATATTAATAAAGTGATGTTTTTATTCGTATAACCATTTAAATTAGTATGCACTCCAAGTTGTTAAGGCTGATTAAGCTGATTTAAATAAAACTATTTAAAAATTTTAAAAATTCGGTAAGTACAAATTTGTAAGTTCAATTCTCGTTTCACAAAAAATTTCCTCATTTCCACAATTTATTTTTTGTGTATTCCTATTAAATTTATCGAAGAGCTAAAGAAAAATAAACATTTACTCGTGATTAAGAAAAAGGGCCAACAGCTATTGCCCATCGCTAACTCTCGCAGTCTGGCCACTTCGCTGCCAGCCCCGTGCTGCCAGATCTCGGTAAACGGCGATCCAACTGGCTACCAGCTGTTTGATCCAAATTGGACCAATTGGAAGAGCGCGGAGACGCGGGCAGCGCAGTCAACGGCGGCAGCGCGATCGGCATCAACAACAAAAAAGCAAAATCCCGTCTCAATTTTATTTACGTGCTTTTTGTTTTAGTGAAAAGTGAAGGCGCAGCCGCAGCAGCCCGTATTTTTCTCGTTCCTTTTAATTTGTTGTTATATTCAATTGTGCAAGTGCCGTTCGTGTTTTTTCTTGTTTATTTTTGGTGTTTGTGTGTGTCTTAATTAAACGAAATGAAAAAATTAAGAGAAACTAAATAACTAGAGAAATAAACACATAAACAAATAAAATAATGAATAAAAAAGGGTTACAAAAAAATAAATTAGGTATATAAAAAATAAGGCAAAAAGTCAACAATACAATAAAGAAAACCCAATAAATAATACAATAACGAAGGCGGAAAAAGTGGCTCCAAAAAAGTCAGTCAAATAAGAAAATACAAATCCAACCAACGCGACGCACGCGTGTCCAATTTGTCTCTTCTTCTGCCTCGTTCTTCATACACACATCCGCATACATATTTATTCATGTGTGGGTGTTGTATCTGTGTTTTTTGTGCATTTTGTTTGATTTGTTGCTCATCTTTTATCTTTGAAATCTCAAAACCTCAATGTTCTCAGCGGCCAATGGCAAAATCAAGGTAAAATTGTGCTTTTTAAGATTTATACTCTTAAATAGGGTATATGCTTTGTTTAAAAGGCGGTGGAAATCATTATTTTAAGTAATTTAACATGCTTAAAGTTTGTTTCCTTTTAATAGGGTATTTGATATTCTGTCCTGCTTTTTCATCTCAAAAACCAAAATACAAATAGAACAATTTATTTAACATGTTGTTCAAAAATAATTAAAAATAAATTTGGAATGAATAATTGGTATATTCGGACAAAGATCTTTTAATATATGTTGTTAAGTTTGATTTGTGTATTTTATGTAGAAGAAGTACGTAGCATTTTATAGAGTAAATGATTACAAATGTTTCCTACATAAATTGATAATGCGATCAGATCAAAATAATAATGTTAGCATCAGATATATAGGGTATTATTTAGTTTTAATATTAAACTAGGTGCTTTAAATATTATGTGATAATTAAAAGATTCTTATCTGATGTTTGTTTGAGCTCAGTTGCCGTACATTTAGCATTATTAAGTTATCACCAACAGGAAGTAATTAAATATTAAAACATTATATATATACATACATTTGTATAAATACATCCCTTAAAACAATCGTTACAAGAAATATGTTTTTTATTTGCTTAAAAAGAAAAACTATAAATTTATTAGAAAAAGAACGTAAATAATTTCATAAAAATTATATGAGTTCTCATATAGATACGTGATTTTTGCAGAATTTAAAGTGCTTTCTTACATATTCATCTCCGAAAATTGTTTTATAATACATATTAAATATCATCCAATTTTAAAAATTTTATAAATATATTATTTTTTTTCTTACTATAATTTTGGTATAAATTATATGTTAAATTAATGGGTAAGGATATGGATAAATAATTTACATAATCCGTGTTGCTTAAATCGGTTGGAAAATTAAGATAATTTAAGACATGAAAATTATCTTAATTTTTTGTGTAGTTTCTTGTATCCTTAAGAACCCGTTTTTTTTTTGATAAGGAGCTGTTACTGATAACCTCTTTTCTAAATATATCTTTACAGTTACCTCCAGAGGACGCAGTTCTGGTGACCTCACCGCTGCGCTGTCTTTTAAACGGTCCATTTCGCGATCTGCACTTCAACGTCAGCGATCACCGCATAATTCCCGTTCACGATGTCGTTTTTCTCGACGATTTCGAACGCAACGTGAAACCTTTGATCTACCGCCCCGTGACGTCAGAGGTCGCTGTCGCTGGCTCTGCCAACGTCGACGTCGACGCAACACCGGCAGAGAAGCAGCAGCGCAGCTTCATTTCAATCAGCAGGTGAGTCACATCACATGAGTGCGAAAGAGACAGCCATCGATATCGATCGTGGCCTTGAACTTGTTTCCATTTTGTTCGCCCCATTGCCAATTGGGATTAAAAGGTAGTGTAGGAGAGAAAGAGACGGGATGCGAACTAATTAGAATTTCTGAATGGAGATTTCATTGAGCTTTGTAACGGTTCAACCTGATTCAAAATTTCTTTTTCAATTTGGGTATATTTTTAATTTATTTCTAAAAAAAATTAAAACCAGTTAAAAAACTATTTTCTATATGCACTACAAAAAAATAACATATAATATATTTTTAATTAATAGTTCAATCACAATTTGTACTTTTAATAATCTATTAAAAACGTATTTGGAAAACGATATTGTATTATTTGGTGCTACTAATCAGTTGAATGACCGTCAGTGACAAAATTTTTATTTTTTCCAAAAGTCACCGACCAAGTCAACGAACAGCGTTCGAGGCGGCGAATTTCAAATGCTGAATAAGTAGAAGTATAAATATAAATCCACGCCGGCAGCCAAAAGAAGTAGCAGGAAAATAAAACAATAATCGTAGTAAGGCAATCGTGTGTTAAGCGGCAATAGAAATGCGTAACAATTAAGCGAAATGGAGTCAACAAAAAAACCGGCTAACAAAGCACTCGTAAAATGCAGCAACAAAAAAACTATAAAAATGAAGAGCAACAAACCAATGTAAATAAACACGCAAAACGATTTTTTGATAAGAACGGACAGTGCGGGTCGGGACTATAAATCTAAAATAGTCATAAGACGTTGAGCTTTGCGGAAGATTCGTTTAACGATTTTTAAAATACTTTGCGTTTAAAAGAACATTTAATTAATTCATTCACCCAATGTTATTGTGTTTGTCTGTTTTTAGCATTTTTATTTTTTTTACTTAAAGGTATTTTCTACATTCCTGTCGTACACTTTACGTATTTGATTTTGGGCATTACAAAAATTTATTTTATTCATCCGGACTGTAAAAACTTAACCACTAAACAAATAGCAAAACTACGAAGTCGAATAAAAAAGATACACAGTTTTTGCACACCTTTGACGATAATAATGATGATGTTTCAACACACCAGGGGCGCCCACTTTCTTATCAGCGGAGAATGTTTTTCACTTATCAGGGCCAAAAAGCAAACACTTTTCAAAAACGAGCGTTAAACAAGACAAATTATTACAGCTGGCAAAACGATGGAGACTCGATACAATTTACTTAATTAATTTAATTTAATTTACCTACTAAGTCTTTTTTAAATATTAAATATTGAACATGTTTCTACACTGTTTGGACGAATTATTTAAACTAGTTTTTGTATCTTTATTTGTAAAAAGCTGTAATTATAATTTCTTCTTTATAACTAATTTATTTTATCTAAAAAAGGTACAAATGTAAAGCCTCTTTTATTTGTTTTAAATTATTTTCGTGCCTAACATTAAAAATAAGAGATAAAATAATTTGAAAAATAATTTGGAATTCAACGATCAATAATAACAATTCAAATGATTAAAGTTCTAAGAAAACATTTTGGTAGAATTATTAAAAAGATTATGTTTAAACTATTGAATAACCTTAATGGTAATCTTATAAAGGATTATATTTAATCTTAAAGCTTTAAAGAATGTCTTATCCTTTTTCAATTTCATAAAATTGTTGTTGTTTTTTATGATAAGCAATATTCTATATAGTCTTTTCATAAACAATAACTATATATGGATTTTTTGAAAAATTGTTAAACTCTTCGGCGGTTTAAATTCTTTGAAGTGCCATTGAGATTTCTTGAATTTCCGGTTTCTTTCGCATGCTCATTTGTGTCTTTTTCGATTCTTTCCGTTTGTTTGGCCAGAAATTTTCATTATGTACCATTGAAGGTTGTCTGAGTTGACACCTTTTCGGAGCTGTGTGTCTCGTGTGGTGCCTCAACATTTGTATTTTTATCTTATTTTTATCACCTCACTGACCGTCGCCGGCTGTTTTCGTCACAGTTGCCGGCATAAGTTTCGTGCCCTTGGCAATGACCGTCGTCCACACGCTCCGCAAAAAGCCATTCATCACCATCCGACTTTGGGCGTTCGACGCTCGTTTGTTACCGCCCGTCTGCCTCAATTTCATTAAAATACAAATTCAAATCGTCGTTAGTGCAACGACTTCAATTAATGTGCATTAAAATAATTGGCAATATGACCCCTGGGCTGAATTTTTTTTTTTTTGGTTATGACTCGCCAGCCATTGGTTAAATAATTGACTAACGCCAATTGGGACTGTTGGCAAAGCGATGTTAAAGGAGGAGATTATTTGCTAGTCAGCAAAAAGATTTTGAGGTCATTTAATGCATTGCAATTTGAGGTAATCAGAGACTTTAATTATTCGCTTAGCACTTTGTCTTGCTGACAGATTTATGGCAGCTTTTGGTTGAGTTTTTGTTTCGCTTTCTTAAAACGATATTT